GGTCCCAGGGGGGGGGGGGGGGGGGGGGGGGGGGGGGGGGGGGGGGGGGGGGGGGGGGGGGGGGGGGGGGGGGGGGGGGGGGGGGGGGGGGGGGGGGGGGGGGGGGGGGGGGGGGGGGGGGGGGGGGGGGGGGGGGGGGGGGGGGGGGGGGGGGGGGGGGGGGGGGGGGGGGGGGGGGGGGGGGGGGGGGGGGGGGGGGGGGGGGGGGGGGGGGGGGGGGGGGGGGGGGGGGGGGGGGGGGGGGGGGGGGGGGTGGGGGGGGGGGGGGGGGGGGGGGGGGGGGGGGGGGGGGGGGGGGGGGGGGGGGGGGGGGGGGGGGGGGGGGGGGGGGGGGGGGGGGGGGGGGGGGGGGGGGGGGGGGGGGGGGGGGGGGGGGGGGGGGGGGGGGGGGGGGGGGGGGGGGGGGGGGGGGGGGGGGGGGGGGGGGGGGGGGGGGGGGGGGGGGGGGGGGGGGGGGGGGGGGGGGGGGGGGGGGGGGGGGGGGGGGGGGGGGGGGGGGGGGGGGGGGGGGGGGGGGGGGGGGGGGGGGGGGGGGGGGGGGGGGGGGGGGGGGGGGGGGGGGGGGGGGGGGGGGGGGGGGGGGGGGGGGGGGGGGGGGGGGGGGGGGGGGGGGGGGGGGGGGGGGGGGGGGGGGGGGGGGGGGGGGGGGGGGGGGGGGGGGGGGGGGGGGGGGGGGGGGGGGGGGGGGGGGGGGGGGGGGGGGGGGGGGGGGGGGGGGGGGGGGGGGGGGGGGGGGGGGGGGGGGGGGGGGGGGGGGGGGGGGGGGGGGGGGGGGGGGGGGGGGGGGGGGGGGGGGGGGGGGGGGGGGGGGGGGGGGGGGGGGGGGGGGGGGGGGGGGGGGGGGGGGGGGGGGGGGGGGGGGGGGGGGGGGGGGGGGGGGGGGGGGGGGGGGGGGGGGGGGGGGGGGGGGGGGGGGGGGGGGGGGGGGGGGGGGGGGGGGGGGGGGGGGGGGGGGGGGGGGGGGGGGGGGGGGGGGGGGGGGGGGGGGGGGGGGGGGGGGGGGGGGGGGGGGGGGGGGGGGGGGGGGGGGGGGGGGGGGGGGGGGGGGGGGGGGGGGGGGGGGGGGGGGGGGGCGGGGGGGGGGGGGGGGGGGGGGGGGGGGGGGGGGGGGGGGGGGGGGGGGGGGGGGGGGGGGGGGGGGGGGGGGGGGGGGGGGGGGGGGGGGGGGGGGGGGGGGGGGGGGGGGGGGGGGGGGGGGGGGGGGGGGGGGGGGGGGGGGTGGGGGGGGGGGGGGGGGGGGGGGGGGGGGGGGGGGGGGGGGGGGGGGGGGGGGGGGGGGGGGGGGGGGGGGGGGGGGGGGGGGGGGGGGGGGGGGGGGGGGGGGGGGGGGGGGGGGGGGGGGGGGGGGGGGGGGGGGGGGGGGGGGGGGGGGGGGGGGGGGGGGGGGGGGGGGGGGGGGGGGGGGGGGGGGGGGGGGGGGGGGGGGGGGGGGGGGGGGGGGGGGGGGGGGGGGGGGGGGGGGGGGGGGGGGGGGGGGGGGGGGGGGGGGGGGGGGGGGGGGGGGGGGGGGGGGGGGGGGGGGGGGGGGGGGGGGGGGGGGGGGGGGGGGGGGGGGGGGGGGGGGGGGGGGGGGGGGGGGGGGGGGGGGGGGGGGGGGGGGGGGGGGGGGGGGGGGGGGGGGGGGGGGGGGGGGGGGGGGGGGGGGGGGGGGGGGGGGGGGGGGGGGGGGGGGGGGGGGGGGGGGGGGGGGGGGGGGGGGGGGGGGGGGGGGGGGGTGGGGGGGGGGGGGGGGGGGGGGGGGGGGGGGGGGGGGGGGGGGGGGGGGGGGGGGGGGGGGGGGGGGGGGGGGGGGGGGGGGGGGGGGGGGGGGGGGGGGGGGGGGGGGGGGGGGGGGGGGGGGGGGTGGGGGGGGGGGGGGGGGGGGGGGGGGGGGGGGGGGGGGGGGGGGGGGGGGGGGGGGGGGGGGGGGGGGGGGGGGGGGGGGGGGGGGGGGGGGGGGGGGGGGGGGGGGGGGGGGGGGGGGGGGGGGGGGGGGGGGGGGGGGGGGGGGGGGGGGGGGGGGGGGGGGGGGGGGGGGGGGGGGGGGCAAACACGGTGAGCGATCAAAGGCTAACACCACCTCACTTGATGCCACTGAAATAAGAGTAGCTAATAAGCGTCGCCCCAAAGTGTTGAAAGTGGTGCTTCACTGCAAACGCGTAGCAGACGAAACACTCCAGCTGTGACGCAAGCAGTTTTGAAAGCTCCAACGAGCGATTTTCTTAAAGGCCTTTGACACCGAAACCCAGTAGACGGAGGCAGGGCAAAAGCAATAAAGTTTCTCAACCACCGAAGCAAAGCTAACTTTTGAGTAGTATACGTGCGACGCACGAAAGCCTTTCAGAGGAATATGGACATGCCCCATGACCAAGTTAAACGGTACTTCTTCATGTAAGCTTCCTGGCAGCGGACCTAAAGTGGCTAAACGTCAAAGATCCCTAATACCTCCAAAAAGCGCTTACCTGCCGACCTCAAGTAGGTCATTTTGTATTCGCGCTTAATACCTACATCTCTAAATACCGGACTGACATTTGAAACCCTATCCTGTTCTACACAAGGCACAAGGCTTGCTCTTCAAATTTTCTTCGCTTCATTTTTACAAAGCGTCCACGTTATGGAGCAGAATCACGCTGCGAAATAAATTACATTGACTACGCGAAGTGGCGTTACGGAAAAATCTTTGGTATGTCTTTGGCATTCAAACGCAGCTTCGGCACTTAGTCCTAAGTGACTGTCAGTGATTCCTTTGGCACCAAAATATGAGCAATGCTCGACAACGGCTTTCTGCATGGCGTCCTATCACTCCAAGGCGTGGTAGAAAGAACTGAGCGGGCACGGTATACTGCCACCGAAATGGTTCCAAATTTATGAGGTGTGCCGGGTACGTGCAGTGTAAAAGACTGGTTATACATCCTATAGTCTCGCGGACTGCTGGTTGAGCTAACCATGGCATTTTGGACCACACCTCACAGTGCTTGCCTCATTACGAGATTGCTGCGGCACATGAGCACGCAAAGCCTTAGACGAGGACAACAACGCAAGTTTGTGGTGCTAGATTTGAAGCGGTCCATTTACCAAATTGCTTGGGACAGAAAGTAGTAAATGTGTGGAACAATCTGCCGCTACACCTAGTTCAGACGAAGTCGGCGTCAGAACACAGGTTATTCCTGGACAAATACTCTTCCCACCTAAAATATCTAGAGCGCCCTCTTACCTAATGGTTATTTGGGTCTGCGTGACATAACTTTCACTAAAGAGATATAACACTTTTGCTTCTTCACACCAGTAATCAATAACTAAGACCTGGCCCAACCGCTAAACCACGGACGCAGCAAGGGTATTAACATGCCCGTTTGTCCTAAGAAACATACAGCCAGGTAGGAAGTGGCGTCTTTTGGTATCAGCGCAGTGATCTCCATTTCAAACTGGTCAATAACCAGAGGCTCATGTTGTTGTTGGGCTATGAGGTAGCTTTCATTTGGCGTAACTACACAAGTTTGGTGACCAGTTTACACCAACCCATGAGGTTTATTGTACGAATGGAGAAATGTGTAGCTAATACTCGGCAAGCCGTTCAAGCGCAACCCAACGGTCACACTCTCATTTTGTAGACTTCAACTTGCTTGGCGTAGAGTTTCCAGCCACGAACAGTAAGGAATTTGAGGCCGAAAGGCAACAGCTAGTCACTGGCATATCACATTATGATCACAGCAGCACCCCTACCAAATTAAGAGCAGAAAACAAAGCAGGCATCCGTGCCCTTGTGTTCAACAGGGAGGACGTATGATTGCCACGGTAACAGTGGACAGACCGTTGAGACGCAGTGATCATACGACGCTGCTTTTCAAATACTTCGGCGGTACCGTTACCTAGGTTCGCGGCTGCTGCTTTCTCTGCGGAAAGCTTTCCAGGTAGCAATTGCTGATCCCGGATGTTCAATAAGCGTCATCTTTACTCTTCGGCCACTGAACAGTTCGGGTTTGCGTAACAAAAACAAAACAAGGCACACAGGAATGAACTTACTTATTTGGTGGGCTGACCGAAAGCAGTGTAGGACATATACAGACTAAATATTTGGCTGCAGCAATTTCTACCCGATAAAGTTGCCTCACAGAACTCGCAGACCAGATGCAGAAGATGTTATTTGCTCTCCGATAACGTTGTCCGGGCAATGGCAGTGTAATAGTTAGCGGCCAATTATACCGTAACAGTGCACCGACCCGTACGTTGTCGGTCGGCACTCATATGCACGGACGATTGCGTGTGGCTTAAATAAGCCTTACGCAGTGTTTTCTCATTTTTTCGTAAAACCAGCATCGTGCAGACAAAAAGATGCCCCGATGGGGACCATTTGCACTCCAATCCTTGTAAGTTAAGAACGGAATGCTGCAAGCGTACGAGGTACAAGACAGTTAGGAACGCGTCGCCAAATTGCATAATGAAGTTTGCAGAACCTGCCGCGTTTGGATAGCATTGTTAGGGTTCTCAGCACCGAGAGGACCACACGTGGGTGCTCGTTGCAATGCAGTGTGAGAAAGTCACGTAGACTCTGCCGCAGTAGATGTCCTCAGATCCAACCATAACCCCAGCAACACGTCTTTTGCGCATGAATAGGGAGTAGGAGGTTACGGTCAGTACCAGTATTGTTGCCAGCTACAAAGTTGGTCTTCTGATAACACAGCAGAACTTGCACGTGCTTTCCGAGTACAATAACACACTGGAGAATTAAAGGTAACGGAAATTTCCGTCATCCAGTTGCCGAACTTTTATACAGAAAAACGGGAAGGCTTGTTGCTTGACTAGACTAATTTCCAGCTCTTTTGCGCACAATTTCGGGCCGTCCACCACGCAGGGGCCGCTCACAGTGTACTTTGAGCAACAATTGTGGCCAAGTTGTGCACGTTGTAACAGCCATGAATAACTTTATGTCTCCATTTTTGAGTTTCCAAAAGCCAACGGACCTCAGTGCCATGGCGGAAACATGGCTGTCTTGCAACATCACCGAAAATGAACTACGGGAGCCTCACCTATTAGTTCTCTGCTGCCATTGCTCAGCCCTAGTTGGCAGGGTCGCTTTGTGCTGCGACACCTCCCTCACTTTCACTGTTACGGCAGACTCCGCCTTGTAATCTTATAACACCAGGTGGTGCGAAGTACTACTGGCCAAAACGCTATTCCTACCTGCTAAAAGTTGCACGGCATTTACATGATTACCGGCCCGAACTGTTTGCAACCCATGGTCATGTAGAGCCACAGCCATTATTCCTATTAAATACTATGTTTCAATCTTCCAGTATTTAATGGATAAGCTTGCAAATTGCGTCAAAGTCGCTGGCCCTATGGAAAAAAATAAACGCAAAGATTCTACTTAGCCCCTAGACTTAACACATAGTCTAAATGCTGTGAGGGTGACCCATTGATGATAAGCATGCAGATAGTGATTACTTGGAGTGTATAGTCATTCTGCAGCAAACCCAGTATTGCTGAAATAGTTTTATTTAGAAATCAGTCGGTTTGGGCAGAAGATCATTAACCCGTCAAATGCCTGGGTCTCAAGTGATTCTGGGGCGAAAATTTGCACCCAGATTGTCAGTGAAGTATTTAAAAGTAACACACAGTCGTGCTCTTTCCTGTGCACTCCATATCAATGCTGTTGTCATAAAGGTGAGGAGGCTTCCGTTCTACGCCCTTTGGTTGCAATCTTCCTTTCCCAGTTACTTAATTCTCAGGCTTATCACTGCATGTTTCGTACCTATTAGGACTATTGCACCTCTGTGCTGTTTCTTATTTTCTTGAGGAGGGACTACAAACTCCTAGATTAGTCCTGACTTACTTATCTTGGTCGGTTGGAATTCTAAAGCCAACACTTGTTGTGTTTAATGTGTCCACTCCTGCTACTCCATGTGTAAGGCTTCTTTTGGCAAACACTGATACAAAGCACGCGCTTCATTGTATACTGTTTAAGTGGGTGGCGACGTCCTCAATTGGACAAAATATATCTCCAATTGTGCCCGCACAAGAGCTTATCACCCACTTGTTATTCCATTGCTGACACACTTTATGGGACCAGACACCAAATGTCCTGGAGCTTAAACAACGGCATTATTACCTTGCTGCTGTTCATGCCAACTATTACGCTAATTGAGTATATACTGTTTTTGTCTTGCTGAAAGCGTGTGTATAACAGCTAAATATTTACCCTTATGGGTGCCTGAAGCGCATTCTTGGATGGAATGTTACGATCTGGTTCCTGTCTAAGCGAGCTGCGCGCCAAACAAAAGTTCTCCTGAGATATGCAAAAAAATCTGTTGGCAGGTGACGGTCAGCATAATAACTCTGGCTGGTCCTTGCACGATGGTTCTGGCCCTTACTCTCATCAGCACACAGTATGCTCACCCGTAGATAAATAGAATAATATGCTACAGTTATTACAACTTACCAATCCGACTGATTATTTATTCGCAAGCCAGGACAGTTAACACTCTTTAGAGACTTCATCTTAGCACAACCACCGTTGAACACACCATACACTTTGTTAGATAAATATCACGCCGTTTTGCTGAAGAAGGCTTGTTTACCACAGAAATTTATAGGCACCATCACCACCTGCTTCCAAATCCTAATTATATTTTCCTCCGCCGTGAACAGCTGAATTTTATTTCAGTATATCAAATAGCAAACTGCTTCTTCACCCATAGGCAATTGTGCAAACCCATTTTACTCAAAATTCGCGTAAATGTCAGCCTAGCGAAACCCTGCCTAATACGGGCTTTTGCTACCAGCTTAGTCTCCTTGCTTTTCCGGGCATCAGCTCCATCTTTGAGTTCGACGCCATGAATATTTAACACTTTATTATATGTAAAGCTTGGGGAAAACTTATCATAACCTCTTTCGAGAATTGACCTGTACCATTTCTGCACGCATATACCTATTGTACGCAACTGATCATACCTTTACTTGTTTGCCTCACTACGTCAAGAATAAACAATTAAATGGTTAATTTATTTACAGCGCAGAAAGTGCTAAATAGGATAACCTATGTCCTTAGTCAGTTAACGCAAGCTGCGAAATGATGACGCGCATAGGAATCGGAAGGTACAATA